CTTCTCTCTCCTCTCGCTCGGCCACACCGGTGGTTTTGAGAAAATGGCTTTCCGCATGGCAGCACTTTGCACTTGTGACCATTCTCTGTAATCGCTACCTGTACTTAAACTATAGTGAGCGCTTAAAATTTATGGCCTTTTTCGAGCTGTATTTGGGTCACATTTTTAAGATCCCTTATGAGTCAGTGGAAGATGTTTGTATCTTCAGGGCGAAGACGACCTGCTGGATTATTACTTGAAAATACTGCAGTCTAGCAGTTCATAAAAGTACAGGAGGGGGAAAAAAATCAAGGTCATTGTGGGTGGGTCATAAATCATAGTATAAAATTACAACCCAAAATAAGGGCAAATAAGAGTAATTAAGTGTGAGCTAAAAAGACTTGTCAAATGGGTCCTCCACCCACTGCTAATATGTGCTCCCCCCACAGAAAAATTTCACTACCTACTTTGTGGTAAAAAGATAATAATAGCCCTTACCATTTGATGACTGCTTAGTATGTGCCCTTCCTAGATGAAAGGGTTTGGTGCAGTATCTCATTAAGTTCTTCAGTGCTGGAGATTCACAGATAAAGTTCAGAGGGGTCCTCTGCTTTACCTCAGCCGGGCCCTCCCTCAACAGGAAAGCTTTTGAAGAGGTGTGAAATCAGTTGGAAATAAAACAAATTTGGAGTTGAGGAAAGAAAAAACCAGATTCTCTTTTGTTTCCTGTACTATCCAGCTGTGGGGTCATGGGTAGGTCAGGGATCCAGTTTATTTTCTCATCCATATATTTAGGTAGCCAGGGTAAACTTTTCCAAGAATCGTGTTGTTGGGTTTTTTTTTTTTTTTAAAGCTTTTCCATGTTTATTTGGCAAACGCCATGTTTTTAATTTGACACCTTTTGACACGGTGAGGGTACATTTAAGGCATTTATCTCATGAAAAAAAAATGTAAATGTGTTTGTAGTACCAGAGCTCCAGAATTCAGTTTGGATGTAAATCAGTAGAATTATACTAGATACCTTCCAACCGTGGAGATTTCGGCTACTGCTTTGGGAGCTATAACTGGAAGAAACAAAATAGTACATGTTCAAGAGAAACTGATATCTAAGCATGCTTTGTTTTATTAAGAAAATTTAAACCTAAGTACCTACACATCAGTATAGCAGTTGAGATCCAGATTGTAACATTTTTACTTATTTGGCCAATGCCTGTTTTCTCTAATTCATAGTGGGTGATTCAGAATCATAATAGGAAAACATAAATCTTAGTAAAGAAACTAAGAACTCTGGGAATGTCCACATGGAGCCTATGGAAACGTCTTCAGCATAGAATTTTACGTTGCGCAGTATAACTTTATCAGACATGACTGGGAAAGCAAAGGGACATAGACTTTCTTACGTTATTTAATAAAATATTAGGGCTTAGACTCAACTTTTCAAATGTTGTAGACATAAAAGATCATTCATTTACCATCTAGTGGAACAGTCAGTGCACAAATGGCTCTTACTGAAATTGAAAATGTTTGATCTCTCTCCATATAGATGAGTGCATATATGTATGAACCTGTATGGTGTGTGTACATACATGTGCCTATGTCAGTCAGTGGTAGAGTTCTTGCCTAGGATGAACAAGGCCCTGGGTTTGATCACTGGCACTGGGGGAAGAAAGACGATAGAAAGCAAAGTAGAAAGAAACACACCTCCTGTCTTGTCAGGATTGTGATTTGTTGGTTAAGAGTCCCCAGTAAGCTGTATCTTTTGTTTGTTTTTGTTTTGTTTTTTCGAAGCAGAGTTTCTCTGTGTAGCCCTGGCTGTTCTGGAACTTGCTTTGTAGACCAGGCTGGCCTTGAACCCACAGACATCTATCTCTGCTGGATGAAAGGTGTGCACCACCACCACCTGGCTAAGACTTACCACCTTAATAGGCATATTTTTCATACATTAGGCAGTTAGCCAAACCAAAATACCTTACTATAATGGTAGTTTATTTACTTGTTTCCTGGTTTACATCTCCCTGGAGTAAGTTGTGACATTTTCTGATGATGTCTTTTGCATTAGAAGCCGCCTTTTCTTTTGTAGTCATCCCAGGGTAGATTAAACTTCTTCTAGGATTTAAGAGACTGAATGTAGATACCTATACATTGCGCATGTGTGTGCATGTGTGTAGGAGAGCACACTTGAAATGGCGCGTGGGCACACCCACCCCAAAATTGATCAGATTAGCTACAAATTAGTAGTGCTTGATTGTGATCTCCAGTTTCTGGTTTTAGGCCTTTTATCTGTGGCTATAGAGCTACTGAGTTGTTCAAAACTTGCAGGTTTTCATACTTAGAAGCGTTTAGTGTTAGTGTGCTTAACTCATACCCACTTTGGTAAACTCTGCTGAGTGTGGGCAACCTAACCTAGCTCCCTTTTTTTCTCCCAGGATACCTTGCCCCAGTGGCTACTTGAAGGGCAATAGCTTGCTCACTTTCCCACTTGTAAGAGCGTGCTTGGTCAACACCCAGGAAGAACCTTACTTGGCCTCTTCCTTTCTGGATTTTACTTATCTGAACGTTTTTCCTGGTGCTATTTTTTGGAGGAAGGTTACTATTGAGCCTGTCCCTACCTTACATTAATGGTGTATTTGTGTTCCCTTACTCCCACGTTCCTCAGTGAAAGTCCCCACAGAGCTTTTGTGCGGGCTGAAACAGTGTTTGATAGTCTGTCTTTATTAGATACCGTGCTGTGTCTTCCAAGTTATTTGGTCAGGAGAGTCTAATGAAGCCCGTAACGCTAGCGTGGTGCTGAAGTCCGCTGTGATTGTTCCACTCCTAAGGCCAGGGTACAGAGCACCAAGTGCATGTGAAGAACAACAGCTTATGTACAGTTTCGTTCCCATCCAGGGACTGAAAGCTTTCCACAGAGTGTATTCTTGAAACCACTGGAGGTGCAAGGGCGATACATTTGGGCACTCGAGTTCTTGGAGAACTGTGTCTCCAAATGCCTTGACTGCACTTGTCCACCAGCTTCTGAAGTCAAGTGCTGATTTCCATCCATCTTGCTTTGTGCTTGAGATTTGCAGTAGGGGCTTTGTTTCATATCAAACCCATAGTTTTCTTTTTCTGCTTAAAAAAATATCAAATAGCACATGGCACGCCTCTTTCCTGCATACTTAGAATGCTGTCCAATGCCAGCGGCAAGACTGCAGTAACCGAAGGGGTTTTCCTGACGGTTTATTTATGTTGTGTGAATGTGTATGTAATACATGTGTGTGGGCGCATACTTGCCATGGCGCGTTTGTATAGCTAGAGGACGGTATGCAGGAGCTGGGTCTCTCCTTCCATATGTGGGTCCCAGGGATTGAACTCATGTCTTTTACCCACTGTGGGATCTTGCTGGCCCTGAAGGATTTGCTATGACAAATATTTCCCTGGTTTTGGTATTAAATAAAGTAGAAAGTAGATGGGTGGCTAAATTTTAGTACCACTTTTGATCATGGCTACAGGGATACTTTTACCTAGTAATTGCTAAAGTTAGAAGTGATATTTATCTTTAATTCACTTCCCTTTAAAGTTACCTTTGGGCAGTGCTGCTTCCTTGCCAGGCAGTTCTCACTGAAGTGTGACAGCAGTCCTCTAAGTTGGCCTTATTGTCCCTGTTTGCCATGTTACAGAGAGGCTTGGAAAGCGAAAGTAGACTGTGCCACAATTTTACCCTAGCTCCTTATTTTTAATGTCCATACAAGAGTTAGGTTTACTTTGTTGATAATACGCTATCCGTGATATTTTAAAAATTGTATTAGTTCATTGGCTGATTCCTAGAGTCAGCTAGAGTATTTTGAATTAACTGCTATGATTAACTATATTTTAGAGTAGAATAAAATCAAAATAGCTTTAGGGTGGCTTTAAAGATCCACACCTGCGACTTTGGTTTTTACTGTGGTGTGTTAGGAAAATTATTTAATGACTTATATTGTTTTGGATGTAGAGTGTTAATAGATGTACAGTGTTAATGTTTTATGACATTTTATTGTTCTGAGGCAGTGGGATATTGTCATCCTTAACTTTTAGACTTAGGGGCTAGATACAACTTGTATTCCACAGAGAATGATGTCTTTCTTGATTTTAAGTCAGTGAGTGCATGGGGTTTGACTCATGATGATTATCTTGTGCTCTTTCCTAATCATGTGACTGACAGCACAGTGAGGAAGCACTGTAGAACTCCAGCCTTACAGCTTGACTTACAGTATTGACTTGGCCATCTTTCATAATGCACTGCATGTAATTCTTGGTGTCTTTTTACTGGAAAAATAATTCATTTAGCTACCATTGAGGGGTAGAAGTTCCCTAAGTTTATCATAAATACTTGGCTCCTGAGACCAAGGCAAAGAGGAAACCATTTTGAACTTGCTTAAAGTTAGTGGGGGCTGTGAGATGGCTCAGTGCCTATGGGTTCCTGCCGCTCTTCCAGAGGACCTGAGTTTCTTTAACACCATTGCTCTAGAAGATAGGCTATAATTAATAACTTGGTTGAATAAAGAAGTGAATTGGTACATCCTATGTGGAGTTCGTTATAATGTTATTGTTAACTTTTAAACTGTAGAAATTCACTTTTGTGAGTGACTCTTGGTGGTTTTGTACAGGAAGAAAACATTTGACTGAAGTCCATATTTCAAGTTTACTCACTACTCACTGATTTCTTCTCTGATGAGTCATGCTTAGGTACGGAGCTTCCCATTTTGGTCATCATTGCCACCCAGTGAGCTCAGACTGCGTTGTGACTCTGCTTTGTGGCTCAGGAAGGCCAGTGTCCGAATGCAGGACACAGGAGTATTTGGTTTTGTGGAAAGTGAGTGATCTCAAAAGAGAGCTTCCCGGAATAACAGCCGTAGGTGCTCCTGGGGTGTGGAGTGTGAAAGCACAGGTCAGGCGGTCTCGTCTGATTTCTGATTTTAACACTTTAGTTATTGGCATTTTCTCAGAATGTCTACCTGCTTACTGTTTTTGTCTCTGAGAAATTCTTGTTACACTGTTCCTAGGTACTCACAGGGAACTGTTCTGATGGGAGGCCCGTATGATGGGATAAGCGCTCTAAAGAAATAAATAAAAGGATGACTCAAGAAGACACTACTAAATGCAAGTGCCGGGGAAGTCACAGCTCCTCTCCGTGAACTCGCAGTGGTAAGTGGGCGTTTGCCTTTACACGGGAATGTGCTTGCTTTCTGTGACCTACTGTGGCCTTGGAGTCTAGTGGTTAGCAGATCGTTCATTTGCTAATGAAGAATTAAAGGCAGTTTAGACTTATTTGACTTTTATTTTAAATTTTGATGGAATGTATCTTCTTAAATAAAACTTTTCTATTAAAAACCTCAGAAACATCTTTTAAAATTATGACTCTTACATGGCTTTATGCAGATCTTCAGTGTCACATTAAAAAAATCTAATTTGAAGTGAGAAATCCCAAACGTTTTTTGTAAGGTCATTAGTGTCTTTGCTTTAGGCTGTTTCTATTTTCCAGTTGGTTGAAAAGAATTTAGTAACATGCCCTCACTACTAAACTTAGAAGAAAGTTAAGTATGTACATAAAACATAAAAGTCATCTTCCTCACTACTCTGTCAACCATGTGTTATGTGTGATCTAAAGAGCCATCCGTGAATGGCCATGTGTTCAGTCTCGAGTGAGTGAGTGGGGTGAGGAAAGGATGTCAGGTAGCAGGTAGAGAGAAGCGTGGCCGTGATGGCAGAGTATCATCACATTAGGACTTCACTGTGTCCAGTAACGACACGGAAGCAGCTGGAGATAGTAAACACAGCTAATGCCGAGCCACAAGCTTGCCACATCAACAGAAATCCACTGGGGAAGTTGAGGCAGTCAGCCGTACTTTCCATGTGAGCTTTCTCTGCATGGATGGTCTGCCCACGCTGAACTTTCCTTCTGAGGTAGATATTTTTACTGTGGTGAATACTGGTCACCTTTGTTGGAGATGGTTCACTTTCTCCTGTTCTCAAGGACATAATGTTTTCACTGTAGGCTGTTGTACAGTCGTTCTTACTTGTCACAGACTTGGGCGGGGCAGCCCCTCCTCGATGTTGGAGGACATATGACATAAACATGCTTGGGTCTGCAATCTAACTCAGCTTCTGGAACCATCTTCCCAGGGACCTCGGTCAGCTTGCGAGAGTTGACCCTTAGTACACTGTATCATGGGATGACCGTAGCAGTTTGGTTACTGTTTCCTTCAGACTCCCTCCATGTACTCTATGTAGAAATCACTTCTATTTTTTCTAAAAATCTATTATACAAGCCGCCCTATAACTTGGTCCCCCGAATTTTCACCTTGGAAAATTCAAACAGAAATGTGGAAATAAATTTTGAGTTATAACAGCTGAATGCCATCTCTTGAGTTCTGCAACTGATGGTCTGAAGTCACTGGTGTCTCTGCCCTCCCATCAGTCAGCTTTTCTTTTATTCTATTTCAGAGTAAGTTGCAGACCTCAGGGACCCCATCCTCGTACTTGAGTATAGGTTATTTTTCATTGATTGAGTTCAGGTTTGGCTTATAACTTTGGCTTTGTAAAGTGGCATGCACATAGCACAGAATGCCTTTATCTTAAATGTACTTTTCCTAAGTTTGATTGAATGTTTGATAAAGCTGCAATAAGGTTTTAGATGGTACTGTATTTTTTTGACTACATAAAGTGTTGTATCTCTGTATATCCTTGTCCTGTCTGCTTTCTGCACTTGCGAGTGTGTTCTGATAAGTATTATAAATAAAACTGCTAGGCTAAAGGCTTTCACATTTTGATGGGTGTGCCAAATTGCCCTCTCAAGAGGACTGTATTCACTTACATGCAGGTCAGCAATATATGGGAGTGCTTTTCCCTGCGCCTTCTCAACATGAGAAAGTACCTAGTCACTCCACTTTTCCTCATCAGTAATGGCTCCCGTTTGGTGTTTTCTGTTGTGAGTTGCTTCCTCCTGTATTTACCTTGTCTGCCTCTTACCAGTCAGTCATACGTTAAAATATTCTCTCCAGGAGTGTCTTGTCTTTAATTTTGTTTTTTGTGTATTTTGAGCTCAGAAATTTAAATTTTTATGTTGTCTGTCTTTTTTTGGGGTCTTGGTTGTGAAGGCCATCCGTCCTCCAAACATTTAAATTTTCTTGCTTTTTTTCTTCCAGAGTTGGATTTTTATTGATTTTTATAAGGAAACAGAAATCATTGTGAGCTAAAGTGCCAGGGAAATTTGTATTACTTTTCGGTCTTGAGTTAAATTTAAACAGTAAACAGAGTGTTGGAGATCCTTGAGACATGAACAGCAAATGATGAATGCTTCTCATACTTACGGAATAGGAATAAAACCAACTTTAGTAAAGTGCAGAGTCATAAACTAAGTTTGCAAATGTATGCTTGACTTCATTTCTTGTTAGTTATTTTGGCTAATCCTTACTTTTCTCTAAAATTTTTATCCTGATACTACAATTTTCTGTCGTATAGTCAGTTCTTTTGTTATTTTTTCCCTCAGTGACTCAAATCTTTTTCTCTGAGGTGGTGAACTGAAATGACAAGAAAGGAAAGATCATATCCCTTCAGAATAAATAGAACATTGTAAATATTTCCTCAGGGCAGTTTATTACAGTTGAATTATAATTTCTGTAAAAGTAGTTTGTGCTGTAGTAATTACGTCAGTATGAAGCCAGCCCCTGCACTAAAGTACAGTCACCAGATAGCAATCTCCTATGTCGAGGAACCAGTTCGTCAGCTAGTCACTTCAAAGTTTGCCTATGAGCTCACATTTAATATACAAATTAGCATGTGGGGATCGCCAGCTAATGAAAGTATTTGGCAAATGCCGCCCATAAGCCTGAGCAGCGCTGCTGAGTTTGACTGTTGCTCAGTGTGTAATAGCTTCTGTCCAGCCGTCAGCCACACCTGCTGGCCGTCCACGCTGGCGTGATCCTGCTCTCTACCAGTCACGGGCTTGTGGCTCTTGGAAGCCCACTGTTCTCCCAGCCTACTGTAAGGACCATGTGTCGCTGATTTTTACTGATCAGGTATTTGTTTCCAGTGTTCGACGTTGTGTTCCTTGTTTAATTTCTCTGGTCTCGCTCTTCTTGGGGATGCTATTTTTGAGTGTTAACTTTTTATATATTTTCGTTCAGGGAAACAGACCTACCTTCAGTGACGTTGTTACTGTAGTAGTTTCTGTTGTCAGGAATTGATCTTTTAATAATAACAACTTGTTACTTCACAACTAAAGGAATTAAAAACAAAGTTCAAAAGAAGAATAGCTGATCGTTTTCTTTCTTGCTTAGTAGGTTTGTATGTGTTTCTGTTCTAATGCTAACAGGATTAGAAGTGCTCTAGTATGTGAAATTTGTTTTTTGTCCGGAGTAGAACCAAAGCATTGAAAGCCAAAAAACATTAGAAAAAAGGCAAATGAAGTTCATACTATTGAGTATGTTGGGAGGCAGAGCCTGTCCTTTTTCTGTAGCTTTTGATAGTTAGCAAGGGGCCAACCTGGGCTACATAGCAAAGCCCTTTTCCAACTTCCCATCCTCCCAAATTATTCTTTGGAATGTGTCCCTTTACCTATGTGGGTATTTGTATTTGTGCGCCTTTAGTTTTTAGCATAATGATTCCTAGCAAATTACACAGTATGCTTTAGTTTCTCTGGTTTTCTTTACTTTAATGACACTAAACTGTCTTGTAAATTTCAGACTAAATGGTAATGAAGTTCAACTTTTACTTTTTAAACGACCTGGGTGCTATCCCTGTTTTATCATTCATATAAAAATACTGATTTGAACTTTATCTGATTTGAATTGTTGGGAGTATTACATTTGAGTTCTTGCCACCCCTTTTAAATTAAAAATATATTTTTAAATTAATTTATTTTTTTGGTTGTGCTGGAGATTGATGCTAGGCAAGGAGTCTACTGTTAATTAGCTACCTTCTTTTTCTTTTGTTGCTTCAGGAGTTGGAGTTTCTAAGGATGAGAGGAGATGTATTTTTAACTTTAGTGCCCTTTGATCTTTGTTTTGGTGGCCTTTGGCCATGCTGAGCACCCCAAGACCCTTCAGTGGGAGACCAGTCATTCTTAGAATCACATAGTTGATGTATCATTAGCTGCAGATGGAGGGGGGGGTCATCCTTGTCTGTTCTTTAACTCCTAGTAGTGAACTAACTAGTAAGGCTTACTGATTTGATTTTGTTTCAGTTGCTCTCTTCTCTAAAATTAATTTTGGCTTTTGTATTCTTTTATTATTTTAGTTTAATTGATCTGTCTTTAACTTTATTCTCCATACAAGAGTGTCAATAGTTTAAAGTACAAATCTTACTTACCCTCCATTTTAATAACTTCCTTGTGCATAAGAATAAAGTTCGAGCATTCTAAATGACATCTGTTTCTCCCCCATGGTGAGAGTGTCCCCCCCACCCCCCTGCTCCCCCCATCACTGTCCCTGGGAGGCGGTGTGACTGTGACACCTCCTGCTGTGATGCTCAGGCCACCGTCACCCTGTTCTTGCTTCCCTTTCCAGAACTGCCGTGCTTTTTCCTGAGATAACGTTTACATCTTTAAGACTGAGCTCAGTTTGTATCTGTTTCAGGAAGTCCGCTTGGATATGGATGTAACTCGGTCCCATCTTCTGTGCATTTACTGACAACTTGTTCATAGATCTAGAACTTACCATAATAAATTAAACCCTTTTAAAATGACACTTTCCAACTGGACTTGCTTATTTAAGACTGTGGTTCTCAACCTTCCTAATGCTCCAAGCCTTTAATACAGTTCCCCACGTAGTGGTGACCCCCAACCATAAAATTATTTTTGTTGCTATTTCATAACTGTAATTTTCTACAGTTATAAATTGTAATGTAAATATTTCTGGCGAATAGAGGTTTGCCAAAGGGGTCACGACCTATAGGTTGAGAACCACTGATTTAAGCAAAGATCATGCCTTATTAATAGTTGTGTCTACACTGTCTAGAAACGACTGGTACAGGTACAAGTACTGAACTAGCAGTCATCCTGAAGGTGCAGGTGGGTTTGGAGCCTTGCGGGGTCTGGGAATGTGTCTTTTTTTTAAGCTCCCTAATTGATTCTAGTTTGCTACAAGTTTGAAGATGACTGGCCTAATTTATTATTATACTATTATAATTTATGTCAGAGATGCCCCGGACTATGTATAGTAAATAGTTGTTGTTTAACCTTTGTCAGTCGTGCCTACTGCAGAATGGATGTGTGTTAGGTCCCTTGATGGACATCACTTCTGGTTGAAACTTCAGCTCATGTGGAGACTGTCTCATATAGGGATCTGTTGCTCATGGTTAACTTTCAGCTGAATGAAAGTCCCATTTAGACAGGAGCCCTCTTGAGCTGATAGGAATGAAATTGGTTGGGCTTCATCCCACAAATGTAATCATTTTAACTATTTGTAACTTTCACTTCATTTTTGCTTTTAAAATATTCTTACAGATTTTTTCATTGTGGTTTTAAGTACATAACGGGGTCTTTATGTTTACATTTGCATATATCCACAAAGTACTACCCAGATCGAGGTGCAGAATGCTTTTGGCCCTTTAGAGGATCAGATCCCTTTCTAGCTACAAGGTACCTTTTCCACTCTAAGATAACCAGAATTAGAGTCTGTGATGTTGGCTTCTTGGTGAAAGTGCTAGACTTTTGTACATGTCTTTTGGTGAACATAGTCACTCTTTTTCTCTTGTGTTTACACAGAGAATTTGTAGTTAAGGATAAAAAATTTCTTTGAACAGATCATGCCAGTTTGCACGTTTAATAGTGATGATTTATAATGAACAATTAAAATTAGATTATTTGAAGATTTTGGTGAATTTTCTGTTTGTTCCCCTAAATTCTTATTGAGAAAAAAGCTAAATATACAAAGGAAATTCAGTAAATGTTGTTATATAGTTTCCAGAGCTGCAGCTTTTTGAGGAATTTTCCCATGTTTGTAACTCTCCGTTTTTTCTCTCTTAGGATTGTCTTCCTGTGGGTTGGCAGGCAGTTCTAGGACTGCAGAATGGGGCTTCGGATTCACTTTGTTGTTGACCCACATGGTTGGTGCTGCATGGGTTTGATTGTCTTTGTCTGGTTATACAATATTGTTTTAATTCCCAAAATTGTCCTCTTTCCTCACTATGAAGAAGGACATATTCCAGGCATTTTGATAATAAGTAAGTTTCTAAGTCTTATTATCTTATATAAAGATTTTTCTTACTGTGAACGTTCTGAAGTACAGTGTCTCCATAGCTTGGAATGTGCTGTTTCAGTAGTACTGCTAACCTTCCCATTCCAGCTGTACAGACAGCAGCTTTTCTGGGCTTGCAGAGCTGAGATCCTACCTCCGTATTCATGTCACTCTGAAAAGTCTGTGGCGATCATTTTGTTCAGGAGAAGTCTGACAACAGTTCTGTCCGTTTTGTATTTAGCTGCAGACATGGCGGTTATTGATTGATTGATTGCTGTTTTGAGACAGGGCTTCCCTCTGTAACCTAGGAGTTGCCATTCTGCTGCTGCTTTCTTCATGCTGTGGCCCCAGGCTTGCATCACTGTGCCTAACTTAAAAATGGAGGCTTTATAGGGAAAAGGATGGAATATATTACTAGTAAATGATATCCTAACAAGTCATGATCCTAAAAATGACTCATACGGTCATCCATAGTGTTTACAGCTTTCATGTCCTTCCCCTCATTCTGCTCTCATAACAGCTATAAGAAATATAATCCTTATTTATACAAGTGATAAGGCTGATCCATATTGCTATATATGACCGTGTGTATAGTGGTCTTAGCACTCAGAAGGCTGAAGCAAGAAAATGGTAACTTCTAAGCCAGCCTGAGCTCTTTAGTAAGATGTACATCAAACAGACAAGCCAACAAACACGTTTACTTTGTAGTCAGGCACACATTCGGTGAGCACATTGCTTTTTATGTGTTCAGTGTGTTGGCTTTGTATTTCCCCACAAAAGGCCCATGTTTTAACTTAAAATGTATAATTATGGTGACTGAATCTCAGTTGTTCCTTAATATAACTTTTATGGTTACTTTAACTTTCAAAAGTTTCTAATTCTTCATTTCTTAATTTTTAAGAGTACATCTCTTAAGATTCATCAACGAAGGCAATTAAATATCACTAATTTAGAGTAATTTTGAAGGTGGAGTTGATGAAAGGTTAAATGTAGAATACTTTTTAAATGCTGTTTGATCCTTTTAAATGAGTCCATTTATTTGTCATTATCAGATGCTACTGTGTGAAAGAATCTCATTTATTTTAAGTTTATCAGTTATTTTGGAAAATCATATTTAAATTGGTACGTTTAGTATGGCCATCATCTTGGCAAGACTATTTGATGAGTAAAATAAATCGTCTTCGTTTTAATATCTAGTTTATTGATAAGGTTATTCTGACGAAGTTGATTAAAGTGCACTTTTAAACTTTATGCTTGTTGATAAAACATTTTAAAGGATGAATGACTAATTTCTTTATTTAATTTCATGTTACAGTATTCTATGGCATTTCTATATTTTGTCTGGTTGCCTTAGTGAGGGCCTCCTTAACCGATCCTGGAAGACTCCCTGAAAACCCCAAGATCCCACATGCAGGTAGGGTTCTCTTTAGGTTTATTCATTTTGCTGATGCTAGAATTATAATATTTATTAACACATCTTCTTAATTCCAATATATGGTTTATGTAAGTCATTGACATCACTTTGAAGTCTTTGCTAACATGTCTGTTTTCAATTGCGAGACCCCTCCCCCTTTTTGTGGCTGTTCTTCTCGCTCCTTAGATCCATATATATTCTGACCATGGAGGTTCTTTTCTCTTCGGTGTGTATACGTGTTGGTGTGAACTGTAGCTCTACCTCTTACAGCAAATATATACCTGTTAAATGAAACAAATTACCTAAGAAATTCTGCTTTTTTTTTTTTTAAGAACAGGATTTTCGCCTTGTGATATTGATAAGTTGCTTAGAGCAAACACTCTCAGTGTCACGGACACTATCTCCTGTCTTCTGCAGATTCAAATAACTTCAGTGTCACGGACACTATTTCCTGTCTTCTGCAGATTCAAATAACTTGATGAAAAATTGAAAACTTTTGGTCCTGATATCAATTAAAGATAATTTTTTTATTATTATATTGCCAGCTAACCATTTAAACCATGAAAAGAAATGAATTGGATTGTTTATTTTGTTATATACCAGATATAATAGAAACTCAATTTTATCTCTTTTGAGTTCCTTTTTTTATTTCTATGTTAACTTTTGGAATTCTGTACTTTTCTATATGCTTTTGTAGTCCATTTTGGAATCAGAGCATTTTCTATAGTATTTTAGTGGTTTCCTAACTTGTGCTTTCAAATATCTGGGAAGCTTTAGAGAAATCTCAGTGTCTAGATCTCACAACTGTATTAGTTAAATCAGAATACTTGAGCATTGACCTAGATGTGAGGTTATTGAAAGCTTCCCTATGGTTTCAGTGTGTAACAGAGTCTGGGAACTAAATTGCTAATTCCTTATGAAATGAGGTTGACAAGTTGCCGCACAGAGCTCCCCAGTCATCCTGATTCTTGGTTTTTGAGACCTGCCATTCCAAGCTTTACTTGGTGCACAGATTTAGAGATTAGTGAGAGTGTCACACTGATATTTGTGTAGCTATAGCACTGTATTGAATGTGTAGCTTTTATTTACTTAGAGCAGTAGCGGCTTGGTCTCTCAGCAGTTGATGTGCATTTGTTTGGGGGTGAGGACAGAGAGTGGTACTTTGTAATCTTCCTCCTCCCAGACAGTATAGCGGGAAGATGTCTATATCATATTCACATGCTGCTACCTCACTCTGAAGTCTAGTAGCCCCAGAACAAAGAAACAGGCCTTTTATAACTCTGGACAATACTTCTGTTTGCAGTGGTCAAACACTGAAATATCTATAGGCTTCTGACAGTTAGTCCATAAAAGACAGTATAAAGGGAGTGGCCATGATTCAGCTGTTGTGAAATTGTCACACAATTAAATTGCTAGATCTTAAAATTTTAGAGGAGAAAAATGGGCACATTGCTAAATTCTTGACATTATAATGAAGTACTTATGGTAGGCAAGTATAAAGAAAAGATTTATTTAGCACACACTGACATGGGAAAGCTTCCTTATCTCACTCAAGCATTATCTTCTTCCAGAGCCTCCTCCAGAATTGCCCATAAGGCCCTGCTTATAGTATTCTGGGCTTTTCTAGTGCATTCTCCCAAACTCTTCCAGAAGTCTAGTACCAAAACCAGCTGCACATTCTTGGTAGAGTTATTGTGATAGTCCTGCCTTAGTATCCAGTTCTCTGTGTAGCTTTGTGTCATTGTAATGATATGACCAAGGCAGGCAGGCTACTGTTAAAGAAAGGGGATTCATTTAGCTCATAATCTAGAGGTACAGGGGCATGGTATCGACACTGGCTCAGCCCTGGTCGAGCGCGCACCCTTTGTGTCACATCTTGATGGAAAGCAGTGGCAGAGATGCTTGCAAGAACAAGCAGTCAGATTTGAGAGCAGGGAGCTAGAGGTTCATGAGTCCGTATAAAACCATTGTTTTGTTATCTTTTTAGATGAAGTGATTGGGGACATCAGGGAATCTTGCTGACTTAGGGGGTTCACATTTTGTCTTGTCCTACTTGATGGTGGCGATTTTCTTCTTAAGAGACCAAAGAACTTCTCCATTGTTCAATTAAAACAAACAAATGAACAAACTGTCTTTAGTAAATTTTAATGTTTTCAAAGTCCACAAGTCTCAAATCACATGGTTCTTCGGATAATTGAGTTAGATGGCTAGGTTAGGAGTGTCTAATCTAGGATGACCCTAGATTACCTAGTTGGAGAGTGACGTTGCTGTCACAAACCTAGAAGTGCCACTGTCGTCTTTTTAACCACGTGTGCATGTATATGAAATTTTTTTCTTTTGTCTTTCACTTTTGTCTTTCACTTTTGCTATAATTTTCGGGGGTGTTGGAGGTGTCATGTGGTTTTTGGGGGTGTTGGAGGTGTCATGTGATTTTTGGGGGTGTTGGAGGTGTCATGTGGTTTTTGGGGGTGTTGGAGGTGTCATGTGGTTTTTGGGGGTGTTGGAGGTGTC